TTTATTCAACCTCAAATACTATGTAACTATGTAACTCTGCGAGGTCTATGGTTTCCAGCCCTCCTTTCCCAAAAAAACGCCCTTTCACTAGGTTTGTAGCGCTTCTCCCCTCCTTTCTCTGTTGGATTCACCCATCGGTCGGATACCCCGGTCCGTATGCTCCTGAAGCCACTCAATTAAACAGGTACACTTAGTACTATTTTAAAAAGCGCTGTATCTCGGTAAGTTGTCCTTGTAACTTTCCATACTCTAACACAGAGTAGAGGCTGTGACAGCTCTTTCCTCACTAGTTAGGTAACACAAGCAGTGGGGAAGCCCGCTGCTGTCTAACCTAACTACCTGTCAAAAGTTGGATGCAGCTCCGCCTGTAATTAACAGACAGCACTCCATCCATGACAGGTTACAATGTGGGGAGGATTTCCCTGCTGTGTAACTTGCTAGAAGCCGATCTGAACGGAGAAAAAGCTGTCACCTTCAGACTCTGACCAGCAGACAGAAATTATATTTGGGTTTTGCTTCACTTACTAACATGGTGGAGCCATAAAACATCCTTTTTTGTGCACAATTTTGCCAACAAAAGATCTCACACTTCCTGTCATGTTCTTGCGCTACCAGCATCTGCCTTGTTGTAATTCATAACACCACGGTGGCAGTGTTGCCAGTCAGTCTGTAATTGCTGGGATATGTTCTCGATACTAAATTAAAACTAAAGAAGCCACTTGGATGAGTGGGGAAACATCTTCAACATTACATAGAAAATGGCACGGAGCAGAAAAAAAGCAAATATAGGTGCAGGGCCTACCGGACTGGGTGGGAGGAGGACATGGTTGGTACCTGACTGGTTATATTTAGCTAGGCGGTGATTGTCTCCAAGCTTGGTCTGTAAGGAAGGGTGTAGCAGCTTCAATTAGAGCTTTGGAGACTCTAAATGAACATGTTTGAAAATGCTCAGTTTGATGGTGATGAGAATTAGTGATGAGAATTAGTCAATAGTCCTGGGTGTGGCGTCCCTTCTCCTGATGGCATTAGGTCAGTTTGCAGTGACTTGGTATTTGATGGATCAGGATATCTCTACCATCAGTTTTGTGTAATATTCCCTGAGGTGGGGGTTTATCATATGAGTTCTACAGATACTGGTTCATTTTAAAAGTGCCTTCAAGGATCTTCCACCTCAATCTTATGCTCTTTGCTGAATTGTTCTTTAACATGTTTTTGAAATTTATAATCGAAGTCTGCTATGGCCAATACATTCTAATCTAGCGTGGTCTGGTTTTCTGGTCTGGTTGTATAAGAGGATACAACAGAGGTATTGGGTATGGCCAGGTGGGTTCCATCTTAAAACTCTAGTCATGTGACCAACTGCTACTAACTGTACCATGACCTAAATGAATGAGAATCTTCACAAACATATATAAAAATCTTTCAATTTGCTGTCTTGATATTCACAGAGCTAAGGTATCTATTATAATGAAGGTAAAACAATCCAATAACTATTAAAGTTTGTTTAGCATAAAAAATAAAAAAAAAAGTAATTTGTGTTCCCATGACAAGCACATGCTCATGGCTGGGATGATAATGTGGTGTATTTGCCGGGTATAAACACAACTCTCAGATATCACCGCGAGTATGACCCAACTGAAGATACGAGAGTCACTCTGCTGTTAAAGTTGGTAAGTAGTTTGTAAGTTAAATGACCGAAGTTACCGACATGTAGACAAGAAGAGAAGACGGAATAATACGTCGAATTATGAGGGTTTATTTTACAATGAAGAGAGGGGGGTAAAGCAGGGGCGTATCTGCCGCGAGGCAAACAAGGCGTTTGCCTGGAGCGGCAGATTCCCTGAGAGCGGCACTTGCTGTGGTTCTCTCCCCTTGATAAATTTTATTTATCAAGGGAAGAGAACCGGAGGCCATCGTAGCGGCGGGGACGAGGCCGGCCGGCCGGCGGGGACGAGGACGGCGGGTTGCGGCGGTGTCCAGCAGGCAGCGGTCGGGGGCGCTTTTTGATGCCAGGTGAGTGATCGTCGGAGGGGGTTGTCTATGGAGACTTGTGCTGATGGGGAGGCGGCATTAGTAAATACACCGTTGGGGTGAAGACAGCTCAGTCAACCGAATCCCGCATGACTATCATGTGAATATAATAAACAACATTGAACCGGATTCACCTGATAAATATAAAGTGAACTCTGAGATTAGTTCAGCACATTGGAAAGTGGAAACCAAAGAAGTGACACCTGACCCATCGACGCTGCAAGATGGATTCTATACCAAAGAAACTCTACCACATTCATGGATTTGATTCTAGAAGTTTCCTTGAATTGTACTTCTCTGACAAGGAGGACATGGTCTTTGAAGAAGATTTTCTGAAATTCCCAATAATGCATCATCACTATGTGTTCAGCAGAGGTATGTAGGAATCTTTATATGTAGTAAATTCAATTGCTTTATGTAAATTAACAATACACAGTAGTGAAACTCCCCATACTGGTCTGTAAATATTTTATTGAAGTTAAAAGGAGACATTTGTGTATTTATGTAAATTAACAATACCACTCACAGTAGTGAAACTCCCCATAGTGGTCTGTAAATATTTTATTGAAGTTAAAAGGAGACATTTGTGTCTCAAAACATGTATAGAAAAGTATTTCATAACTTATATTGAGTGTCAGCTTCTCTTGAAGTTCTGTGAGAGAAAATGAAGTCGTTTTGTTTTTCATTCTGACATTTCCTGCAGAAGAGACAATAATGAGTAGGGGACAGCAATGGGGATGTTGGCTACCCTGCTGCACCCAACGCTGTGCCACCAGGCTGAATATTGTGCCAAACCATTAAACAATGGATGAGCCTGCTGTAAATATTATATATATATATTTTTGACTGCTATATAAATCCTGTATAATAATAATAGTTGTAAATAAATTAGTAAAACATAACTGCTTGAAATATATTTTCTAAGTCACTATTTATCATGAATATTGCATTTTTTCTTAAAATACTTATTTTCAGCTTTTTCATCCATTGTTACATCTCAGTGCTGCTGATCTCCTGAAGTGTCTGTCTGAGATTTTAGTGATTTGTGTTTACAGATCATTATTTTGCACACCTCGTATGTTCTGTGACGTACACATCACTTTATTTTATCACAGGTTTTATCCGTGGAAATCTTTTGATTGATCTCAGCATGGGCTTCTTCATTCACCATCTATATTCAGCTGCCAACATCTTCAAAGATATTATTATTATGAAGTTCAGTGAAAAATGTACCATGGAACTGCGCAGATGGCTTGTCGATCGTACCGGAGCTTTTAGCTGGACTCACACAAAAACTGCTGTTGAAGAGTTGGAAGGAAAAAGGTGAAGTGTCTGCTGATAATTGTTTGTGACAGTATCGAGTCTATTTTGTTTTTATAAAACATCCAGCAGCTGAAGGGTGTAGAAAATTCCTGGACTCCTCAGCACCATCTAGGGGCAGTAGTGCCGGCAGTGCCGCACCATTACTTATGTGTTATAAGTAGGGATGTCCCGATACCGATGCTAGCATCGGAATCGGGCCCGATACAGGGCATTTTGACAAGTACTTGTCAAAATGCCCCGATGCCTAGCGCCAAAGCTTGCGCTGTTTGTTTGTTTTTTCTCTTACTTACCTCGCCGAGCGTGGCGTCACTGCTGCTCCGGTGGGCGGAGCTCCAGGTGGGGTCCTAAGTTAGGTGGCCGGAGACTGCCAGCTGACCCCGCTTGGAGCGCCGCCCACCGGAGCAGCAGTGACGCGACACTCGGCGAGGTAAGTAAGCTGGGACGGGGCTGGCTGTAAATCTATTGCTATAGTGTACTGGACGTGTGTAATGTATATGTAGTACATATATACAGCACATACCTCCACTACACTCCAGCAATGGAGTTACAATTCTCCGCTGCTAACATGAATAGGTTAAATCATGATCCATAGTACAGAACATGTAGTTGTACTATGGATCATTTAAAGTCACCTGTCCCTTTAAGAAAAAGTATCGGTAATTGGTATCGGCAAGTACAGGAGAGGAAGTACTTGTACTTGGGCCTGAAAAAGTGGCATCGTGACATCTCTAGTTATAAGTATAAATATATAAATAATGGGCACCATATAGTATGATACTATTGTTCAACTCTGCTTCACTTTGCTTTAATAAACCTGAGGAATTAGTCTTCTGCTGGGGCATCATTTTAACATCACCTATAGGAGAATGTGTCGTGGTTTTATACATGTTATCTGTCTTCAATAACTAATGTCAGGACTGAAAACTGAAATATATTTATGCAGGTAAATGTAAACTTTTGAATATTGTTATTTTTTATTCTCCTTTTTATGCAAGTTGTGGAACTTAGGTCTTCTTTTCATGGGGCCTCCTTTTGCTCCTTTGTTGTAAAAAGAATATTAATTAGAGAGTGAAATAGCTTCAGCTGAAATTTATAAACACAAGTGAATGTGTCAGAGCCAGGGCCGGATTTCCCACAAGGCCAACCAAGGCCCGGCCTCTGGGCAGCAGGGGTGTGGAATTCCTATCTCCCGATGCCCAGGACATGCAGTTCTGGGTGCCGGGCGGGTAGGTGTTTTCTACATTTAGCCCTGCTTTGGGCAAGCAGAGCTAAATGTATCACCAGGGGGTATGTCACCAGGTCCGGGTTTATACACTGTCACTAGGGGGTATGTCACCAGGTCCGGGTTTATACACTGTCACCAGGGGGTATGTCACCCGGTCCGGGAACGCAAGGAGACTTTGTGTATGCAATTACTTGCATTCCGGGCAAGGGTGTAAACAAGCCTTTAAGATTAGAAACAAGTTTTAGTGGGCGTGTACTTCAATCTAGAAAAGTGAAGGCCTTGTTCACACCAAGCGCGGAGCAGTTGCAGACCGG